GAGCCACCACAGTGATCCCATGTATTAAGCAGCACATCTCTTCCCTGAGAGGATTGTTTCAAAAATACTTCCCGAACAACAGTGCTCAGTATGCCTGGGTTATGGATCCATTCAATGCAGCAGGTTGGTATTTTGACATTTTATTGTATATATTATATATATTATACATGCATTTTATTTATGTTGTATGCTTCTTACTAACTGGAATGGATTGTTGTCAAACTGATTTCTTTGTGTTTATTATGCAATGACAAATTAAGTAAGCCTATTTATTTATATTCTGTCTGCAGCACCTGCTGATTTTAGGTCTGCTGAGGAGGACCAGTTTATTGAGATGACATCTGACTCCACCCTGAGGTTCAGGTTTAAAGCTCAGACTCTCAGTGAATTCTGGTTTGGAGTGGAGAGGAAGTATCCACTCATCGGGCAGAGAGCTGTGTGCATTCTTCTTCCCTTTCCCACATCATATCTCTGTGAGATGGGCTTTTCAGCTGTTGCTTCACTGAAAACAAAGTACAGATCTCAGCTGAACATTGAACATGACTTGAGAGTACAGTATCAAGCCTGTAACCCTGCTTTGAGAAATTGTGCAATGCAAAACAGGCTCATTGCAGCCAGTAATGCAGGGATAAATAGACCTGTCTTGCCAAATGGATTTCTCTTCTTTTCTTTTTTTAACAGATTGCAAAGTGGCACTTTTATTTCTTTTCTATTTTTGAACTTGATACAAATTTTGACACAGCTGCACTTTTATTTTCTCTATTTTTGAACTTGCTGTTATTTGAGATGGAGAGATTGATACGAGCTGATAGCCACAACCTTGTTGTACCCTCTAACATTGAGAAAGTAAAATTTCCTTCCAGAAGGCCCGGTATCAGTGTGTGAGTCAAGACTCAGGCTGCAGTTTAAAAGTAGTTCAATCAATTTGGTTGAGGAATGTGTGCATATATTTTCCTTGCTAAGTAATTAACCAGAAGATTTTATATCTATGTTTCTTTTGATTTTATCGATGTTTGTACTCAGGGTTTTACAATTTTCTGGTTGTTGGAGCAGAGTGAACTTTTCTGGCGCAGTCATGGTAGTTAGTGGTCTGCTCTCATAGGCTAAATAGTATGTTGTTTTATGTGGTGTGTGTCAGATCATACGTTTTGCGAGGATTTTTTGTCACACATTACCATCATGTACATACGCGGTATCGGGGAGTATAATAAGTGATAATAGGTTCTATTTTTTTTTTTGTTTATAGCGTCCTCTCTGGCCGAGGTACTTACTGTACATGACAGAATATTAATATAACATGTTAGTTACTAGTAATGACATGATAGATGAGCATTGTATGGTTTTGGATGTGTGGTTTACGTTAGCAGTTTGGAGGTTAGTGGCGAATTTGAAAGTGGGAGTTTTATTCTTGATTTGAAGAGTGTGAGAGAGTCCAGGTTCTCTTGAGGTTCCGGTGGGAGTTTAGGAGTGGTTTCCCAGAGTTCGGGGGTTCAGTAGCAGCGGAAGCTCCCTTGCTCCCATTGGTGATAGCGGTAGGCGGGCCTGTAGGGACTATTGTAGGGTTTTGTATTTTGAGGTGTAGTGTGTGGTTTATGAGTTTCTTGAGGGATACGGAGGGTGGTCAAATGGTGTGAGGTGAGTTTTGGGGACATGATTAAGTGAGGAGGTGTGGGTGTGGAGATGGTTGATTGGCCTTTTGACGTTAACAGGTTATGTAGTTTTTTTGTTATTTTGCGAGAGTGTCGGAAGTTTAAGCCTGTGGATGATTTTCGTGCTGCAGAGTCTGAACCAGATTTTGAAGTTTTTATGAGGTGTTATTGTTGTGGGGTTGTAGTACTCGGAAGAGAGGGATGAGCTGCAGGTTTATGTTCTCGATTATGCCGTGTGATGGATCAGCTTGTGTAGAGAGGAACTGGCAGTGGAGTTTGGGGGGAGAGATAAGGTAGGTGGGCGAGGCGATTTGAGTAGTGATGGAGAGATATCCGAGTACTTTGTGTGGGGTGTATGGTTTGGTTATGTTGATAATGGGTGTATTGGAGATGAGTAATGCGGGGTACGGAGGGGGGACCCCTGTATCTGTAGCGTGTGGTGGGTGGATGAGGGAGTGAAGAGGTAATATAGTTGTTCAGTTGGTAGGGTGTGAGAGGAGTGTCCAGCTTTTTGGGAAAGCGTGATTTACGACAATAGGGTGAGTTCTGTGTTTAATGCCAGTTGAGTTTGAGAGTGGAGGGAACCGGATATTTATATAGTGAGTGGTATTGCATGTGAAGCAGGCTAGTGAGGTGGATGATGAATGGTGGTGTGGGAAGAGTGGTAATTGGTTTGTTAGCTGGTATTGCAGGTAGATTGGCTGGGGTGGTACTATTCCTGAGTAATGATTAGTGGGATTGTGTGTTGTATTTTTGCTGGAGATATTAATTTGCCAAGGGGTAGTGATGGTGTAGGTGGATATTGAATTGAAGAGATAGGTTGCCGCCATGCGTATTGTGTGATGCCCTTTTTGGGGTGTCACACTTTAGTTTTGTTCGGGTGAGTGGTGGTGAACGGGTGTGGTTTGGAGTAACTTGGAAAGGGGTGGTGTGGGGGAATTTTCTTTGGTGAGTGGTTTTTGCGGATTGCCTGTTAATGGAGATTGGCTTGGGCCCGTGAGAGAGTTATGGCGGATTTGTGTAAACAGTTTCAACGGGCTGTTGGCGTGAATTACCAAATGGACATTATCTGTTGAGGAGGATTTTATGTTGGGGACTGGTTGTTGGCGGATAGGCTGCACTTTTTTAGATTCAATGGAGGATGAGATAGTGAGATAAACCAGGAGTCGGTTTTTTTTGCTGTCCATGGAGGGAGTGTGTTTCGTTTTTTTTGTGATTTTGATTTAATTTGTCGAGGAATTCAGTTTGGGCTTATTGCGAGGTGGGCGGGATCCAGACTGGTGGGTGGGTTAGAGAGTGGTGTTTCATTTAGCGTTTTGTTTTTTGTTGTTAGGGTGTTTGGTATTTTTTAGGGTTTAGTTTGTATGGATATGTATGTTTTTTGGTTGTGTAGTGGTCTATACGTTTGTGCGAATGTATTTTTTTGGGGGTTTAAATGGGGTAGATTGGATTTTGATGGTATTGTTGGACGAAGATTATTTTTATTTGTTTCTGTATATGTGTGTTTTTTTTGTTGTTATGTTGGGGTGCATTGATGTAGGGTTTTTGTTCAATTATTTGTTGGTTCGGATGTTGATGCTCGCTCAGCTTTTCTTTGAATGCAGCCTACCGGCGCTTTTAGGGGAAGCAATTCCATTTTTTTTTGGGTTGGGAGAGGTGAGGAATGGATGATGGGTAGAAGATGAGGGGTAGGAGAGAGGAAGGCAGGCTTTTCACCGGGAACCCTGTGGGGGATGGGGATCTACTGAGAAAAAAAAAAAAAAAAACAGGTGGAGGGCTTTGGACATTTTAGGATGAGGTCTGAGATATCTGAGCAGAAGGGGAGTAAAGAAGGAGAGGGAGTTGAGACGTCAGACATGGTTCAAGGGGAAGGTGCTGAGCGGAGGAGCTTGGGTTTAGGTGCAGGTGGATCTGATGGATTTTCTGATTAAAAAAGGACATCAGGGAGTTACAGAACAGTTGAGTACATGATGGGGAGGGAAAACGAGGCCCGGGGGTCTTGAGAATATTGCTTGGAAGAAGAGAAAACAGTGACTTGGAATTACCTTCATTTGAACGGATTATGCTAGAGTAAGTAGTTGAGTTTGGTTTGAGAAAATGGAGTCCCTTATAATGTAAAATGTGATTTCTGTGCATGTCTTTGTGAAGCAACAAGACGTTTTCTTTGTACAGTCAACCTCAAGCTGTCGACCCCGTTTGGCTTTCATACGCCGTAGTTGCGGGAGTGAAGCCAAGGGGCCCAGAGGTGGAGAGGGGGGAGGGGGGGGGGGGGGGGGAGACAGCACCACTGGTTTTTCAGAGGAGCGGAGAATTAAAAAGATGGTGTGAGGCGTTGTTGTAGTGGGAAGCCAAGTCGTCTGGGGGTGGATGAAATTGTGAGTGTTAGGAGACAGCTGATACCAAGAGGAAAGTGCATCAGGATTAATTTTCTTAATGTTACGGATATGTGATGACAGCGTGGGGCTTTGTTGAGACAGAATGAGTTTGACATTGAACGACAAGAAAAGCAAATGATCGTTATAAGGGAGTTGCATTGCTGCAAATACAAGTTAGAAAGGGAATGGACGCAGTAACAACAGACTAAATCGCAGAATGTGACGCCTTTGATATGAGTCGGAAAGTCAATATGCTGCTGGAAGGCCA